ACGGATGGCAGAGAGAAATTGTAATAGAAAATTCCTATACTTTAAAAAGCAAATTTATTGAAAAATACTTCTGAATATGTCACAAAACATTCATCAAAATTAATATGCTAATGCTGACACTGAAGCACATTAAATTACTAATTTTCTCAAGTTATACAACTGGAGGGCACAACATAGATTTCTGGGCTTTCACAACTCCAAATTATTCAATTAATTGCCTAAAAAGTTTAATTATATTTCAAAACTACTAATGTATAAGTTAATAGTTAATTTCCTATCGTTCGTTAAGAACCCGCAATGAGTTTTTATGTTTATAAAATGCCTTGATAGCAACTAAATTACACAAACTGTATATATTTATTGCTTATACTTTTCCTTCAAACAGAACCGAAAATTATTGCCTTTGATGTTAAAACATTGTAAAGAGGTTAAAATTAAAAATTTTTACCGAACAATTTAAGTAACATTATTTTAAGGCTATTAAAATAAATTACCCTGTCATCAATATTTCTTTAGGACACTTGCACAGAATTTTTAATACGTGTAGTGTACTGTTAAAATCTCTCACCCATAAGTTTACACAAATAATTCATTTCTTCTCTCTTAATAACTTCGAGGTAATTAATTTCCTTTAAGACAAGAAACGCAGCTATAGTGGCATTTGATAAATGGTATTCCTTTCTATAAACTCATTCACTTTCTACTTGTATAAGCGATCTCCTTTTCGTAATACTGTTTTCAACTTTTTAAAAAATTTTTAGTAATCTAAACCGCAACTATTATTTCAGTTTTAATTAAAAACTTGTTAAACTTGTTCATGGTTTTCAAAACTGTATTTTACAAGATTAAGTTCTTTCCAACGCTCGAGTTCAATGTCGTATAGAAAAGGGAGAAACGAAGACGCAAAGGTGTAGGGAATAGTTGCCTTTGAGCAGACTATGAGTTAGTGACGTTTCCAGTGGTACATTATAATGCAGTGACCTTGATGTTTTAAATATGAGCGATATGGGTTAGAATACAAAGTGGTTTCAGCAGTATTTTTTATGTTCCCCGAAAGAGCTTACGCCGTATAATAAGACGGAAGAACGAGTAAAATAGCCATGAAACTAAAGTAATGATTTTAAAAATAAGAAAACGTTTTCAACAGGACATTTATATTTGCTTATTATAAAATCAGAGCTTAATTTTTTGGCTTCCCGGACGGAGCGGTCAATTCAAAGAGGAACTGCAGGCAAAAGGAAAAACTGGAGTGTTTAATTCTAAACAAATCCAAAATATCTGCCTTTAAGAATTACTTGAATGAAAATTCCGGGTAGATGCAAAAGCTACCAAATTGTGTTCTGTAAAATTTTCTTTCTATGACACATTTCATATACGTAAAAAAATTAAATTCAGGAAAAGAGTTTCGATTTATCTTGTAAAGTAAATCCCCAGCTTTCCTGTTTATTCCATTCCCTGGGGTACTCTCGGTCAAAAGAAGGCTATGCTTAAGCAATTATCCCTCGTGTGCTGTGTCTAACTTACATAATCCAATCAAATCCTATAAATATCTGCATTTTGCATGAATATTGTATTCAATTTAAGAAAACGCGTCTATGGATCCATTCAAAGGCAAAGAATAAAGTGATGTGCATTCTAATGAATTTAAGGAGATTTTTATAATAATTTCTGAAATAAATAATTTCTGAAAATTATTTTTTATGTAATGATATATTATTATTCGTTCGCCATACAACGCACTATCATGATATAAAAATTGACGCGAAGAAAGCTTTCAAACGGATGATTTTTCAAAGAAACGTCAGTATGAATGAGCGTTTCTTTGTGTATTTATTTATAAACGCTCAGAAATGAAGTGCTGTATTATATTATCATTGTGCAAACGGCAAAAATTTGTCTCGTAGTGTAATAGGTATCAGTAGCAATTCCATGAGGCGAAAGATTTCTCATTTGTTTTCCTCAAGTTTTGTCCATTAGTAAAATATATGAAAGGCTTTTCTAACTCAAATAAATATGAATCTCTTCCTTAAAATTTCCAAATCCACTGCCTGAATACACTCTGCATCAAAAAATAGCAATTTATCAATATTTTTAATTAAATAACAATTTAGCAGTCTGCATCAAAAATAACAATTTAACAGTGAGATTTTGTAGTAGCATATATATTAAGTAAGCCTACATATTTTGCTTTTAAATTTATATATTGCATTCAGAAATGAAATACAAGAAAATTACTCTAGCTTTTAAGAACGAAATATTTTCTAGTTGGTTTGGTTTATTTAATTATGGCAAAACACACTAAGGCTATCTGCCTAAGGGGATGGATGCCTTCGTGGAGGTCTTTCTCAGGGAAACTGGCTCGTATACACGTTACACATGGGGAAAACCACGAAAATGCCTATGCAGGCAGCCCGTTCGCGTGATTCGAACCTCGGACCGAACTACCAGTGTTCAGAGACTTTGCCGCTCGGCCGCTGGTGGGCGCTATTTTCTAGTTGAATTTTGATGTTATTTTATTTGAAAGATTTTACATTATTAAATAATAAGAAGGGTATTTTTTTATTTAAGAAGAAAGACGAAATGTTTGCAAGATTTCTCGTGGGTCTCTTATTTCAGCAAGAGTTCAATTCTACAGAATTCTCAAGTCCTTAATTTCTCTTCAGCTTATATATCATAACTATACACGAGAAACAATTTCTAATCGTAAAAATGTGATTTTCAGTCTTACTTGTTTTCCTGTTTAGCTGACATAAAATACGTGTGTATTATTAATAGCTATTTTCTGTTAGTAAAAATAATCAATCGTATGATCGAGTCGCTCGTTTAAACTGCAAAATTGAAGTTTCAGGCAACGGTCTTCAGATAAAAAAATTGGAAGTTGATTCCAAATCAGATTACATTACAATATGCTTCATTATTTCTCGTCAAAGACAAACAATTTAAGAGCCATAAGAGTATTTCAGGTTTCATTTATTTTATTGTTTGCGTTTGGATTGAGGTTTAGAAATTATTTTTGCTATATGGCAGCACTTTTAAGGATTTAACACTTGAGCTAATAACCCTATTTCATAAATTTGAAATAAAATTTCAAGGAAGGTATGCTTATTCATTTTTATCTATCAAATAATGCTTCTGCCTTTTATCAATGAATAAATTGTTTAAATGGTAATTTATATAATATTACTTAACAACAGTGATTTTAGATTTTCATGCATTTCATATTAATACAATATAAAAAAATCATGTATGGGTATCTATTAAATGAAATTTTGATTTAATGTAAAATAAGCAGCAAAACTTAAAATATAATATACACGGAGAGACAAATCATGAAATTAAATTTTTAACAAGTTGAAAGCTTGAAAAATCTCTTAACTATTCAGCAATAATAACTAAAATATTATATTTCTCTTCACAAAGCATCTATAAAAACAACTAGAACTGTGGAAACTCATTAAAATTAAATTAACCCTTTTACTTCGGGAAATCAATCTTATCCTTTTCAGATATGTCTCATTTGTTTAATATCGCTTGATATAAAAATCCGAATGAATTACCATGAAAACATGCGAATGAAATCAGAAAACTAGAAACACGGAAACATTCAATATAATAATTTTTTTTCAGTTTAAATTAGTTTTGATTTTGTCAGGAAAACATTTTCATTCCTAAGGTTAACTTAGTAGAAACTCAAGGTAACATTAAATCTTTAACGCTTCGTCAAATTTCACTCTCCCTAAGCTCAGAAGGATCAATAACTTATCGGTATATTAATTAATAGCTCCAAGACATCTAATCAAGGCATGCAAGGAAGATGCACGTGTAACCGGCAGGTTTAATTAAAACTGAATTAATTCGCAGGAGTATGAAGCTTGGTGAACTCAAATTCTTAACTTAGGTAGTGCATGAACATTAATTGCTGCCGTCTACCTTACATTTATGCTTGAGATTAATTTTATTACATCGATAATACCTGAAGGTTATAGAAATCGGTAAAGCTAAGTACTTAACTATACCAAATTTTCATTTAGAATCATATCTGTGTCATGTAAGTTCTGTTTCATTCAAAGTCATATCAAATTTTGACTTTAAATGAAACAGAGCTCGTAATACCATTTTATGCAAAATTAAAATTTATATGGCAGATAGCAAATTTCATCGCTTTAAAGATGTTAATCAGCTAGATTGTGGAAATTCTGCTTTAAGATTTAATTATTTGAAATGAATTATACCTGTTCCGCAGAAAAGATAAATACAGCTGCAGGAAGAAAGAACACAACTTACCCACAAAATAGCAGTTATTCATTGGGATAAATGTAAAGGCGGAATAGAATTAAATACGCGTAATGTCGAAAGGAAAGAATTAAATAAAGAGGTAACTTTAAATTTCAAACTGTAATGATGTATTACGCAGGACTCAAAATCAAGCATCAAACGAAATTTTGAACGCTTATACAAAACTGATATTAGTACTCCCTAAATTGGTTTCAAACTAAACGTTTATTGGTAATAGTTATATAAAAATGCCTTATCTTCTATTTATTGATAACATTATTCATGTTTATTCATGAAATAAAAATCGAAACGCAATAAACGATCCTCGGTGAAAATTTGATACCTGAAAAAGATATATTTTAGAATATTAATATTAGCATATGTATAACACATATGTATTAGAATTAATTTACAAACTTTAAACACTTTTACCGAATAAATGACTCATTGTGTACTCAGAATGTCTAATTATACCATTCGGCTTAATCTCTGTTGTAAAGATTAAATCCTTTTGACTGATAAAAAGTGTCTTGAAATCTCAAATGTGTGCAAATAACTTCTAACTTACTGTCATGCAAATAACTTCTAAAGCATTTAGGTTATTTACTGTTAACTATTCTAAAAGGTACGGTTATAATTTACTTTTTTATTAAATTAAACGTATAAGTAATATCAAATAATTTTCATAAACAAGGACGAAATGATTAAAAAAGTCAAAAAAGCGGTTTTTCTGTTGTTTTTTACCTTTTTATTAATTTGCACTGATCTTGAGCACACAAAGAAAGCTGTGTAATGTAGAGGTGCTTTTATATGATATGAAGATTTGGGTTATTTTTTCGATAATGTGCTGCAGAATCAGCATTGGCAAGTTGATATTTATGAAGCGCGTGTAAACGTAATACATGTTTTTATATTTCTCACCAGACGAATTCCTCTAATTACAAAACACAGCATTAATCAAAAAGGAACTCTTTATGCAGCGTGAAGTTACTCATTTATCTCGAAGAAGACACAAAAAATGCTCAAAACACTGTATGAGTGACATAGGACAAGCACAGAAATAACTGTCTCAGAATAACTTTGAACACGCCCGTCTCCTTCCCTGTCAGACGTTGGTTTGGATGGACTGATCGACGTAATTGGTTAGTTCTTTTATTTTCTTCCAGTTCTGGGTTAAAAAATAACAGCGAGTAAAAATTTCTTCACTGTCGCTAATCACAAATTAGTTTTCTTTTATCATAGTGTTCAGTTTTCGTAGCACATTGATTTCGCGTTAAATATTCACACTGGTGTTGAGTGTACAGCTCATGTAAGTATATTAGTTATTTAAGCGTTTAAACTTGCTTCTTGGTAGTTAATGCAATAACACTAATATGCAGTAACAATCTTTGTTTTTCATTCCGTCATTGAAACCTACATAAAGGTTTCATGAGCTATCCAGGAATGCTGAATCACTTCACAACTCTTTATTAACGCGGAATGGAGAACAATAACAGCGTCGACAGCAGTCCAATGATGTGTGCGGAGTAAACTGCACTGGCAGCACTTACTTGCTTATATGCCATCATTTCATTGGTCTGAAAACCATCAAAAGTACCTTCAACTGAACCTGAAATTAAATGAGAGGATTCATGGTTAGAGGAATTATGAAATAAAATCAGATAAATTTTTTAGCCTGAAATTGAAATTAATTAAAATATTTGGATCATTTTTCCGATTTAAGTAAAATTTTTCTTCGATTTCAATGGACACAATAAAACGTTAAATAAGCAAACACCATATTCTGTGCTTATATCTTATCTCTGATTACATTTCGATTTTTTAAATCTTTTATTTTGTGATTTAGAAACGATACCAAACTGAGCGACTAATTTAAAGATGAAGCAAATTTAATACCCTCATATGAAAACTCTATTTCATTTCTTCTATACTGCAGAAAAAAGCACGCAATGTATTAAGTAATTCCCTATTATTCTGAATGAAACTGACAGTTTTAAATTGTTCTAAGATTTTCAGACCCCTGCTAAAAATGCCCCATAGAAACCAGTAAAACTTTTTATGGGTACCCATAGGAGAGAAAACTTTAAGGAGACAACTTTGAAGCTTTCGTACTGCTAGACAGTTGTAATCCAATCGCTCTGGTGTGCTGAAAATTATATATTTGGGAGTCATTGAAAGATTATGTACTGTTTGGTGTTGGTGCGGTGGTCTCCGCCTTTCTAACTGCAAATTCAGAGAAGGTTTGAACAGCGTTCAAAGAACTTTCGCGCTCCTTATTAGCAAGATGTACAAGAGCGTTCCTACACTCAGCGCTCAAGCCATAACAGGACTGGTCCCGCTTGACTAAATGGCGATTAAGGAATATGCAAAGTTCCAACTACGTGTTGGAGAAAATCTCATTATGGTGGATGGCTATGCTTATGATTCACGGGACTATGAGGTCGAAGGTGAACCTCTCACGAGAGCATCCATCTACAAGATTAATATTCCCCTTCAACCGTAACTTGCCCCGTGGGGGTGAAATGGAAACCTACTTCGATGGGTCGGGGCTCGGCGATAGAGTAGGGGCTGCCTTTGTAGTACTCTACTACGGTGTAGAGATCCATCATGAAGTTTATAGGTTGGGCGGCTATAACTCGGTTTTCCAAGCAGAGTTGTTTGCGATTCGGAAGGCTTTAAATTGGCGTATTCGATCCCGAAGGGGGATCATTTGATCGGAATAATTTAAGTACTCTTCTTGTAAGTTCGAATCTCTCTTTCCTCGAACAGACTTCGAAAGAGGTAGAAGAGCTCTTTGAACATCTATCATAACTGGTTCCCCGCCTGGCTTGTCCTTGGTTCTTCGCTGCTTCTTTTAGCTGTTTTCGCACACTGGCGACGGTAGTACTAAGTTCTAGACTACGTCAGAACTCCCTAATAAACAAGTTATTTTGCACAATGGGACTTTAGTTCTAGTTCTGGTTGTCACCTATAAGGTGTCGAAGGCCTACGTCAACGACAGACGCAATCCTGCACTCCTAACCGCGATAAAATCAGCGGGCTTTTTTTGATATTGCTGCCAAACGAGTGAAATAAGTCACAACAGCAGACCAGGTTTTTCCTTAAAGGGTTTTGATAGAATAAAGAACAATTTTAAAACTTAACTTTCTTAGTAAATGATGTAAGGATTTTAAGTTTTACTAACGTTTATTTTATTTTTAAAACTTTACTATCCTCTCTTATTTTACGTTTCTGGCAGAATAAACTCGAACAGTATTAGTTATGCAAATTGAGCTTCCAAGCTATTAAGTATTTAAGTAGTGGCTTTTAGCTAAGAGACCCTGCTAAAAATGCCCCATAGAAACCAGTAAAACTTTTTATGGGTACCCATAAGATTTTATGGGTTTTTATTGACTTTTACTGGTTTCTGTTGGTCTCTGTGGGTTTTTTACTGGTTTCAAAATGACCCATAGAAACCAGTAAAACTTTCTACTGGTACCTATAGAATTTTTGATGGTCTCTATTGACTTTTACTGGTTTCTGTTGATCTCTGTGGGTTTTTCTTACTGCCATACAACCAGCATCAATGTCAGAACTTTCTACTGGTTTGTATTGGTTTATATTGACTTTTCCTGGTTTTCTTATTGGTATCAATATAATAATAAATCGTATGTTGGTTTATATGGGTTTATGCTATTTTTCTATCTGACGTTAATAGATTTCTTGTAAACAATATAATTAACAGAATGAAAATATGATCTCTTTAAGACCATCAGAGTAACCTGGAAACGCAGGTGGTCGTTTGAGAGAGGGTTTTTACTAAATATGCTTATTTATTTGATTTAAAAATTTTTTGCGGAAAGTAATCATATACACCACACACAACGAGATCTTTCTAAGGCGACCAGCCGCAAATAAAAATTTATCTTTGCAAGTGGTTGCCTTAAAGAGGGAATGCTCAATACAATATATACTCACGTTCTCAGAAATACGTTTATCTTTTAGAGGTGGTCGTCTTAGGGACATTGCATCTACAAAACGAATCTCTCTAAGGCGACCAGCCACACTTGCACAATTTTCTTTGTGAATGGTCGCCTTACAGAGGGAATGTTCAATACAAAAATATACTTATGTTTTCAGAAATACTGGTCTCTTTCAGAGGCGGTCGTCTTAGGGAGGTGGCTTTTGCTACGAGTTGGTTCTCTGAATACACACACATAAGCACTTACATTTCTGATATTACAAATAAACACAGGTATCAACCTACATCTCTTTAACGCGACCAAGTTCATTCACAATCGCAAAACTTTTCTCCGTGTTAACGCTGACGTTAGGAAAATAACTTCCCCTTCATCCCATGCTCCCTCCCCACTCTCAGAAGTTTTCCAAACAAGCAATATGGCGCCGTTCTAGTTGTTGTTGTACGATGGTGGTGTTATTTTCTTCGTGGATGTAATAATGCAATATATAATTTACTTTGATTTACTGTATTACAAATTTTACTATGTTTTGCCGTTTAGAAATTAGTAATAATTAATAAAATACCAGCACTGACTATGAATATGAAAGCAAATGCCTCTAAAGCCATGCACGTGTAATCGTGTCTAATGTTTGAGAGAACTTTGCTTTTAGCTGACTAGTTGTGAAATGGAGTTTCTGTGCGTGAAATTGATTTTCCATCTTTACTTTTATCCTGGAAAACAATGTGCTTAAAGACTGAAAAGTGACAATTTCAGACTTGATAATTTGGTTCAGTGTGTTTAGATCAGAAGCAGAAATATAGTTTTTGCATTCTACTGAAACTGTATTTTGGAAATTTTGTTTTTTTGATTACAGTTTAGAAATACTTTTAAAGCTTGTTCATGTAGATGCTTTATCATTTGAATATTATGCACTAATAAATTTGAGCATACCTTACTTAAAAATGATCTTGCATGATTCAATTTTCAATTTTTCGACTATGTGATGAGGCCGAGCAAAAAGAATGTATAAAAAGAATGTACTAATTATATTTCGCGAGCAAAAAAGGTAAGTTTCATTAATGAAGTAAATATTGAAATATTTAATGTGTTTATTACTTATTGAATGGGGTGGACAAGACATACAAGCTTAGGGAATCTTTTTCCACTACTAAAATTACGCGAACATTTAGATGGTCATAGTAGCTTACATTTTATTTTGGTCTATTTTTCTTTACAAGTATGAGACTAGAACCACGTTTTTACATTAAATATTTCATGCTATTTTGTAAAAACACATATAATCATTTTTATGCATACTTTAATTTTAATTATTATTAGTTTGATGAAGAAAATTTCCAATGTGTTTTTCATAAATTGCTTTTGAAATAGAAATAGATTTGTGGTGTGGTGTTGGTGTGGTGTATTTAATTATGGCAAAGCACACTAGGGCTATCTGCCTAAGACGAGGGATGCCTTCCGTGGAGGACATTTCTTAAGGGAAACTGGCTCGTATACACGTTACACATGGGGAAAACCACGAAAACACCCATGCAGCCAGCCCGTTCGCGGGATTCGAACCTCGAACCGAACTACCAGTGTTCAGCGACTTTACCGCTCGGCCGCTGGTGGGCGAAATAGATTTGTGAATAAGATTTATGTAATATTAAATTTACTATTCTTGGGAGTATAAAAAGTAAATTATTTATTTGAAAAAATTACATTAAGTGAAACCTCACATAGTGATTATTTTCGTAAATGACAGAGTGACACATTTGTCAGAAACATAATTAAATAGCAGTACTTAAAATCACTGTAGTTTTGTCAGGCTACAGGAAACTGGCATTATATGGAATTGTGGAGTTGATTGTTAAGTAATTGGAAGTTTTGCAAGACAATTAAAACAAAAGCTTTTCGGATCACGAGTCTTTTAAAGGCACTGTTTTAGCATTGCTTTCAAATATAGTTAGAGTAATATTTAAACATTATTTTCTTTCATTAGTTATACTTCGGAAATGGTAGTTACAATTTTCTGCACTAAATTTATTTGTTTGTATAGATATTAACGTAAAACTTTTTGTAAACAAATTGTAAACAAATGTAAACATGTGCTATATGCGCTTAATTGCAATGACAGTAATTATAACTGCATTTGTATAAGGCTGTACAGAAGATTTATTTATATTGCTAAATACTGCACTATACAAATTTCATTTGGCATTATAAATACAGAAAATGCTCAGCATGAGGTATTTTTTATTATATAATCTACTGGCAAAAACAATAACTACCTTTTCAGTACTTTAAATTTTACTATTTAGAATTTTTATGGTTCAAAATAATATTTCTATACACTTTCTAAAGTATTCTTTATACAATAGAAATCTAAATAACTTATACCTAAAACACTGACTCAAATTTTTTCCAATAATGCATCGCTTTCATTAAATTTATGTTCCTTTGAGATGGTATATGAAAAGCCTTTTGTAATAATAAATTATTAATATACATAGGTAAATGGTATTTTTATATATTTTTTCGGGTAAAGTGCAGAATCGCCCACTTATTTATTTGGCGTTTGTTTGGCGTTTTATACAAGAGAAAAAAGAATTGGATTTTTGTCAATTTTCTTTTGACTTTTTAATAGGTCGATGTGTACATGGATACCGAG